TGCCGAATATTCAAGCTGTTTTGTTGCCGAAGAAAACCGAGAAAAAAGCTTAACTGATATATGACTTGTCAAGAATCTACACAAATGGCCCTTTTCAGGGCCACAAAGAATTTTCAAACGAAGGAATTACCTTAACTAATTCATGAACCACAACTTCCCTATTTTTTTATAAGACGGCAGGCTAATATAATTAAGACATGGCTAAAATGACTGAAGTAGATATAAAATGAAAAGCTCAAAAAACGGATGTTCTTAAGAGTATGCTATAGCTATATTCCGCAACGAATCAATTTTTTTAATATGTGTCGCGTCATAAAACGGTCGAGTCTCATTGTCAGGTCCTAGATCCAAAGGATATATAAATTTAATGGATCTTTCCTCTTGGTTGCATTCGCAGCGATATTCTACAAGCATTTCAGACGGTTGGAAATTTCCATTTTCTTATATTGAACATACTTTTCTTGTTTTTAAACAAAAAAAGATTTCAGGTCAGTTGAGACTTCAGCGCACAGTCGGGAAACACAACACTATATATAAGTATACGATGCCTTTTAGTCGAGCGAGTATTAACGCGACATTCGGTTGTTGTCGGTTGTTTTCGCTTGGTGAGCGCGTTTCTGCTGATAACCTAGAATTTTTCTGTATCTATTCGGGAGTGCATAGTCGCGTCTCTTTATTCGCGTACTGGTAATTTAGTACGTTCTAAGGAAAGTCTGTCGGGAACAGAAACCAAGCTAACAGTTAGGCTGAGCCGGTGTCGAAAGCGGCCTATGGCCGTTGACCCGCGGCTCTCATCCATAAGTTATGTTAGGATTGATTCAAGCAATAAGTCCCCTAACCTTACTGATAGAACCCTTATAAGTAGGATGTGAAGATAGGGTGAGTATAAATGATGTTTTCAGCGACTGTAAATCAGTCCCTTCGCGCCCTTCTTCAGTAAATAGAAAATCAGATTTTCGATAACCTTTAGAACTGTGAGTTTTGAAAACGGCATAAACGAAAATTCAGGCAAGGCTGGCCGTGGCTTAAAGCGACACGTGGTCGTTTCCACGCGGCAATCCTTCGCTACTTGTGAGGTGAATGCTTTTGATACAGAGCTTAATAATAATATAGGCATTGCGAGTCTAAACGTCTAAACTTAGAAAAGGAATCGTGTGAGGTGGCTGGCCATGAGGCTGCTGCATTAGAGGGTAATCAGGTAAGTGCTTTTGATTACACAGGCGACTGCGCTTCGGAATTCTCTTGTACCTCCGTGTACAACAGAAATATTAAGTCGCGTAGTCCGGTATCACCTCAGTTGGAGCTTGACTCTTCGGCATCAGGTTAGTCCCAGCCGAAAAAGAGAATCATTAGGTTAATTAATGTGCCGGCGGAGAGGTTGGTTAACTTAGAAAATAACCATAGTACTAGTAAAAATAATTCTGCTGATATGAATGCCATGGAGGTTATTCCAAATGTTAAAACATATAATAGGTTTGATACTTTGTCTAATGCTTTCAGTGCGAACATCGAACAACAGGTTCAAGAAAATAAAGAAATCCAACCTAGAACAGATGAACGTACGAGTAGTCGATATGCGGATCCCTTGAACGTAAATTTGGAAGAGGCGGAACGTAAACTGTCGGCAAAAGTGCTGCCTTTAAATGCTCAGCTAAGATCTTTGAGAAGCAATTAGTCGAGTTATGCGGGAAAACCTTTAGATTAAAATTATTAAAAGAGGGTATTAGAATTCAATTTTCAAACCCAGATGCCCACAAAAAAATGATAGAATTCCTGAGAAACCATAATC